ACATGACTGAGAAAGTGAATTTGGAAAACAACTGTATTAAATTTCGGAAAAATTATTATATGTCCTGAAAAATTTTTGTACATCTGGAAACTTTTTGGTAACCCCCCCTCTATCTAACCACACCCACACCCCACACCCCCTGCGACGAAGTGCTCGCAACGGCACTGAGTATATATCTTTTGAAAACAGGCGAGGGGTTATTGCATGCATGTATTTCTAGTAGGAGTATTACTGATAATAAATTTGTAGAAGTATTACTGTATTAATAACATTGTTTACTTCGAATAGTCAATCAGTGATAAAACCTTGACTCTGACCTTGAGCAGTTGACCTTGTTATTACCGTCCCTTGCAACTGCAGGTGAACAGTCGCTCATAAAGCATTGCTTATTCGTATGAGAATCTTACGTTTTCTTATTTTGACATAATAGCTATTTTTCAATATATATATATATATTGATATTAAACTTATTGAATCAATATGTTAAGTTTCAGGCCAGTTGGACCAAAATTTATAAGCGGTTGTGCACCACAAAGGCGGATATCGATTTCCATTCAGTGCAATATGTCGTGCGATCGACATTTTGCGATCACTTTCTTTTGAAATACAAGCAATCTAACGCAACGGATCAAGTTGACTAAACGCATTTCAAAAGAAAGTGGTCGCAAAAAGTTGATCTCGCGATATTTTGCACTGAATGGAAATCGGCCTGAACGTTTCTAAGGCATGTAACATGTACGCACTGCGTACCTATTTTTTATGTATGCAGCTTCTTTGGGTACTTATAATGAAAGAAATTTCTCGAACCCAAATTTTGTGAACCAAGGGGGTGCGTACGAAATGTAAAAGCTTTAATCATATTTTGACAACCTCGTCCCCAGGGCCTTTGTGCTGAGAATGCCCTGGGATCGGCTAGAATTTTACACCACAAATTTTGCAGTGTAATAAATTAAGATCACTCTATTTCAATGCGGGAAATTGATTTGTTCTTCAAAATTTCCTGTACTTGCTGCTCCAAGACAAGCTAAATTTTACATATTTTAATCCCCGAAAAATAAGCTATCGGAAAATGTTTGAATCAAGTTTCAACTATCAGAAATTTAGAAGTTAGGAGTCAATTTGGCAGCAGCTTGACTAAAATTTAATTGTTTACAACAAAATAACAATGTTACAAGTTTTATCTAAGCTCGTCCGATTTCTGCTGTAGACTTATCTTTCGAAAGGAAGTTTTCTAAGGATTTCAAAAATATATAATGTGTCTCGTGTTAAGATAAAAAAATGTTTAAATGAAGAAAAAGTGAATGGCCATATTAAATATTTAGTTGCTGGGCTTTTAATTATTGTGCAAAATTTCAGGCAATTTGGTGTAGTTCAAACCCTTTTACTATTCACGCAAGTTTACATTTTTTCCTAAAAACAGCTATTTGCATGTTCAAAAAATGCCTTTGCCTAATTGGCATATGTCAGCAATATGCAAATGAGGTAAACACATTAATTAAACATACGAAAGGCTACTGTTTTTTAGAAAAAAAATGAATAGTTTTAAAGAGCTTATACTAAAAAAAATTGTCCGAAATTTTGTACAGGAATTAAAAACACAACACATTTTCCATCTATTAACTCAAAATATGATTAAAGCTTTTAAATTTCGTGCGCAAGCCATTCATATTTTGTTGGAAAAGACATACCCGCCTGGTTCACAAAATTTGAGTTCTGGAAATTTTTTCTAGATTATAAGTTATTCTACATTACAAGTACCCAAAAAGAAGCTATATGTAAAAAAACAGGGTACTAGTAGCTGTTTTTGCGAAATTGAGAGGAATTTCAAATCTGTTCACTCTTAAAAATAGGTGTATTGCAAAACACACAAAAATGTGTGATATAGCACGTTAGATGTGTTGTACATTGTGTACATTGTTGTTACATGTTGCACATTTTACTCTTATAATTTCGACATAACACACCTTTGTGAGTTAAATAACACACCAGTGTGCGTTATATAACACACAGTGTGCAGTGCTTAACACACGGCGATGGAGGTAAATGTGTTAGATAACACACTTTCAGAAAAACACACCCTTTCTACTGTGTTAGTTAGCAAACGCTTCCTGTGAAAAGTGTATTTATTATTAACCCAAGTTTGAACATAAACACTTTAATTGAAAAACATACTGCACAGAAGAAACACACTTGACCAACAAACACCCCTTTCCGAAACACACTTCTTAAACTAACACACTTTTACAGAAAACACGGTCTATAAAGAAAACACGCTTTATAGTAGCAAGCCCGATCACAGGTTAGGGCCGCCCGATTACAGGTATCGCCAAATTAATTGGCAAATATTTATGCGAATATTATTTACCGGTAGCCTGAAACTGCCGCATATTAATTTACTGGCAGATTAACTATTTCACAAATGAAACATTTGAATTCACAAGTGATAAAAGGACATAATAACAGGAATAGTTCCCATGTGTCATGTGTGTTATTATACATTTCATCATAAAGACTGCAAACTGGAAAGTTAAAAGTATGCGAGCAGCACGGGCAATCAAAATTGGACCTCAAAATTTATTTACATTTCAGACCAGTATTATATCACGCTATGAAATAGCAGTATAAACACACAATGAAGCCGAAATATTTGAATATTCGCGCGCCGCATGATCGAGCTTTCAAGTTTTCAACCAATGAGGAGAGTGCCGCCGTGATATCTAATACCTTCTTGCAATCGATAGTGGGATTACTTTGTGGTCGTTTGTATGGGAATATATGTGTAATTGTGGTACGAGGGGTTCCTTTCAAGTGTCAGTGCAATGGAAGCGATACAAACTGATTAAAATGGCTTTAGTATTTTCATATTTCAATCATACAGATGGCTTTAAAACAGAGTGAGGATTGAAGAAGTGAGCATGGTTGCAGTTTGTATTTGAATGACAACGCCAACGGTCCGGAAAATTGTGCAATTCAAAACGTGCGGCTCCAGCGTCAATACTAAGAATCCCGCTTTGATAGAGAAGTAGGCGAAGTGGTTTATACCAATTCGCCTGTAACTTCAAAGATGTGATAAACGTACGTCGAAAGGAATAAGGTGAGTTATTATAATAATGCGAGAATTATAATGTAAAGATTGTTGTCTGCGATTGTCATATAAATACGATCGCTCTAACATTGATGCTGAATATATTCTCTGCATTGTAAATTTGCAGTCTCAGTTATAAAGAAAACTTGCGCGCATTTTGATATACAAGCAGCTTTGTCTGATTGTTTTTAAATTATCTTGAGTTGAAAAATCGGAAATGGCTGTTCAAAGCCAAACCTCGACTACATCATATACATATAAGAATAGAGGATTTTGTGCATTCTATTCAAATTACCCACAACAACACAGACAACAATATTTTATTCATTAAATTTCGATGGCAACGGAGAACGGTGGAATTTCTTTAATTAATACTCTGTGTACGATCGTATACACTACACAGCTGGACCTGAACAGGCTGAGCTGGTGCCTCATGAATATTTTTTGCCAACTTTAATTTTGTTATAATATTGACGGTCCAGATATTTAAGTGAAGTATATATAGATCAGCGGGCCCTGGAAATGGTTTGGGGCACGCCAACATAAACAAGTATATGGGATTGCTTTGCTTGGGATTGTGCTATTGTAAATCTTTATTGTTGATTAAAGGTCGACTCTTGTAAAACGACTCTGATGATGGTAATAATAAAACTTGTCGCATACATCCTTGACTCTTATTTAGATGACTCTCTTGATAATCTCTTGAGTTGACTCTTATTTTATGTTTAGATGATAATCTCTTGAGTTGACTCTTATTGAGTTTACGTTTGTTGATTAAATACTTTTATTTAACATTGTGTGACTTGTTTGATCGTATCATAACATGGTGTCAGGATGAACGAGGATAGAAATAGGCCTGGCCCATTGATACTGGATGCGAATGCTGCCGAAAATTGGCGAAAGTTTATTCATGATTTCGAAATCTATTTGGTGGCCAACGAGAAAGACAGAAAATCAGAGAGGTTAAAGGTGAACTTGTTACTGAATTTTGCCGGTTCTAAAGCCATTGAGGAGTATAGCCACTTTGTATACGGCGAGGGTGAGAGTGCAGAATGTTACAAGGATGTATGCCACAAGTTTAAAGAATTGTTTGGAGGTGCTAAAAAGTAATCTATGAAAGGTTGTTGTTTAATCGTCGAAATCAGCAGGAAGGTAAGAGAATTGATAATTTTGTTAGCGAGCTTGAGACTTGCTTTAGCTTGTGACTTTGACTCTCTCAAAGATTCCCTTATTAGAGATCGTATAGTGGTGTTTTGTCAGACAATTTAAGAGTAGAACTACTTAAAAAACCAGACCTTACCCTTCAGCAAGCACATGATTATTGCAGAACGTATGAAGCATCCGAGTCGCAGAAGCATTAATTTAGTTCTTCACTGCCTGCTGCAGAAAAAACTGTCCTTACACTAAGCAGCCGTGATAAGGGTAAAAATTATAGGTCAAATCATAATAGGAGAAAACTATCGTGTAAATTTTGGGGTTATAAGCATTCATTCTCTCATCCAACAAGATGCCCAGCATTTAGAAAAAAATTATAGGAACTGTGACAAGCTAGGGCATTTTGCAAGAATGTGCCTAGAAAAAAATGCAAGAAGAGACAAAAAACTAAACTCAGTTCTACAAGAGGACCTCCCTGATAATAGTGAGCACGAAAAATCTAACTTGGTGCATACATACTTTAATTCAGTTGAAATAGCTTCACTCTCGAAAGATAACAAAAAAGATAAGGCTATGGTTTCGCTAAAAGTTGCTCGTAAATATCTAAAAATGAAGGCTAATACTGGGGCTGAGGCGACTATCATTCCATTTAAGCTCTATAAGGAGCTAACCAAAAAACCATTGCAGAAAATTCATCAGCCATTAAAGGGATGGCTTGCTGTTAAAGCTATTAATCCGAAGGGTTGTGTACGACTCCCCACCCAGTACAAAGGTAAAGAGATCAATTTTGCATTTCTTGAGGTGGACGGGGATTTTACCCCTTTACTAAGCTGTGATGCTTGCTTGGATTTGAAATTCTTAAGTTTATGAATTTAAAGTTAATTTCAGGAGAAGTATGTGAGAAAGAATCTTTTGATGGAAATTTGGAGGGTACATCCAAGACTTGTGGTCTGCAAACTGTTAAATCGGATCCAGTGTTGAAAGATTATAATAATAATAATAATAATAATACGAATTAGTTATATAGCGCCAATTCCCTAAAGTCCATTAGCGCTTTACAAGATATGTAACCTAACTAAGAACTAAGAGGAAATCTTACAAGATAACTAATTAAAAACTATGCTAAAAAGATGTGTCTTAAGAAGTTTCTTAAAAATTTCAATATTATGACAGTTCCGTATTCTGTCTGGTAATGCATTCCACAATGTTGGAGCTGAAACAGAAAACGCTCTAAAACCATAAGTACGTAGATTAAAATTAGTTGTATCAACAAGGTTCTTTGAGGATGATCTTAACGTTCTTTTTGGTTCATATGGTTTAACTAATTCTTTTAAATACAATGGTGCCATGTCATGCAAACACTTGAAAGTTAAGAGAATAATTTTAAAA